TATCTTGTAGTATCCTATAATGAAAGAGAATATTAAAAGCAATACATGTATGTATATATATGACTAAACTATTATGCTGTATGCCAGAAATTGACACAACATTGTAAACTAACTATACTTCAATCAAAAAAAAAAAAGAAAACCAAAAAAAAAGTAGGCAAAATGTTTACATGTGCAACATTTATAGTAAAAGCCTAATTGTTCATAAAAGTCTCAGAATTTTTCTTTTTTCTTTTTATTCATTCAAAAAAGCCAATATAAAAAATAGTGTGCTAATATAATCTATAGACTTTGGGTAATAATGATGCGTCAATGTAGGATCATCAGTTATAACAAATATCTATCTCTAGTGGGAAATGTCAATAATGGCGGAAGCTCTCCATGTGTCGGGGCAGACAGTATATGGAATCTCTGGGCCATCCACTCGACTTTGCTGGGAACCTACAATTTCTCTAAAAATAAATAATATTAAAATAATAATAATAAACAATAATAGGAAAACTTGCTGAATAGGCAAACCACATACAATGCTAACAGCTTATAAATGTTTAGGGAAATCATTTAGGGAGCTACAACCTGACATTGAGATGACATATAATACTTTAGCACATCATGCATGCTCCTGGAAATCTAAGCTGTTACTGCCTTTTCAGAAAGTAACTGGCAGTATCGCTCAAAATCTTCATATGCTATAAAATGCAGGTGATACACAATGCTTACCTTAGGGGTGGTTGTAAAAACTAAATCAGTTACCACATGCAAATGGCTTAGAAATATGCCAGGAAAATGGTTTGTGTTCAATAAATGTCAGTTACTTTTGTTGTTTTTTTTCTTATTCTTATTATCATTATCACTACTATTATTAGCATTCATCATGCTTTATTCAGAAGCCCATTTATTTATATCCAGTCTACAAACCAAAATCTCTAATAAGAATACACAGACAAGGAAGTTCATGGTATGAGTCGATAGTGACAATCCCTGGAAATAACCTCATTATCTATCAACATTTCAATCAATGGGATCTCATGTACACCTATTTAAAAGGAAGAAAAATACATACACAGAGCAAGAAAACAAATCCCATTTTTAAATAAAACTTGACACCTGCAAAACGCTATGTCCATTTGTAGAAAACAGCATTCTTGGGGTATGTTTCTATATGTTATATTTAAGATTAAGATGAAATTTAAGATATAAAATCACTGAATAATACACAGATGTTATTAACAATAGTTTCCTCAAGTGTAAAAATAGAAAATAGAAAACCGAAGCAATTAAAAATATATACTAGAGCAAAATGAGTCACAACTACAGTGTAACAGCAAGTAAAATGCTTAAAATCATATAATGACCTGTAAAATGACATGAAGCAAACAAAATTAATCATGGACAAATAAAATTATTCCCTTAATAGCTGAAACTGTAATCAGATTTTAAGAAGTTATATAAAGTGATTTTCACTTATCTGACATACTTTAATATTTATGTCATTAAATTACAAATTGGTTTGAACATTAAGATTTAAAATCTAAAGACTCAAAATTCTAGTCTTACATGAATCACAAATACTTAACATGTTAAGCAAATATAATATTGATGCTCTTTAATACTCAGGCTGTAAATTACCATCAGTTTAGAGTAGTGACTGTAAAATTTAAGAAACTAAAAACAAGCGTATAAACAGAAGAATGGCCACTTACTGTTTTTCAAGATGGAGAGTATATGTTTTCCTGTCTATTTTGATGGCATAAGTCACCTACAGCAAAGTATTCAGAGAGAAATGAATCATTAGAAATTTTTAATTCTTAAAAGTCAATAGCCCTAATTTTTTAAACATACGTACTCTTTAATATAAACACAGAATGTATCATGAATGGGCCAAAATTACATCATACATACATACATACATACATACATAGTTATAGTTACTTTTCTTCATTAAACTTGGAATGTGTGACAGATTTAATCATATTCAAACTTACATAAAATCCAGAAATCTAAATCTGTCAAAAGAGCATCAGTCACTGAATTTAAGTAACAATCAAATGTTAAATTTGATTTACTAATAAACTTCCTTCAAATGAATCTTCTCAGAGACTGAATCTCAAAGAACTCAATTATGACATCATCATAAAACATATGCATTCTTTAAGGTGCAGCATATGGTAAATTCTGGTAAATGTTTGAAAAGCCATTAGAGAAAACAGTACGGCGATTCCATAACAAACTAAAAATAGACTTACCATATGATCCAGCAATCCCACTCCTTGGCATTTGTCTGGAGGAAACTCTAATTTGAAAAGATACATGCACCCCAATGTTCAAAGCAGCACTTATTTACAATAGCCAAGACATGGAAATAACTGAAATGTCTAGTGACAGATGACTGGATAAAGAACTTGTGGCATAGATATAGATATAGATGTAGGTATAGATATACACAATGGAATACTACTCAGCCATGATAAAGAATCAAATGATGTCATTTGTAGCAACATGGATGGACCTGGAGATTGTCATACGAAATGAAGTAAGCCAGAAAGAGAAAGAAAAATGCCGTATGGTATCACTTATATATAGAATTCAAACAAACAAACTTATCTACAAAACAGAAACAGACT